ATTATACAAGCAAGTGTAAAATCTATATCCTCCTACTGCAGTTCCACCCTCAGGGGCAACCACTATTAACAATTTGTTGCATATTCTTTTTTTTAAAAACCTTATTAACATATAATGGATATCTTTCCATTTTATCTTTTATAGCTCAACTCATTTATTAAAAGTATTTAACAGCTTGATGTTATTTTGTAAATTTATACAGTGGTGCAATCATCACCTACTCCAGTTTTAGAGCACTTATTACTCCAAAAGTTTCTTTACGCCTGTTTGCAGTCAACCCCAATCCCCAGTCAGATGCCCTTTCTGTTTTTACAGGTGTACTTTTTAGAAATGTTATATAAATAGAATCATACAGCATGCTTTCTTTTGTATCCAGCTCTTTTCACTTAGCTTAATGTTTTTAAGATTCCTCCATGTTGTTACATACATCAGTAGTTCCTTTTTCTTGCTAAGTAGTATTCTGCTATATGGATATACAATACTTTTTAACAGTTGGTTAAACTCTGATGGATGTTTGGTTGGTTTTCATCTTGGGAATATTATAAATAATGCTGCTATGAATATTCACATACAATTCTTTGTGTTGATATATGTTTTTATTTTTCTTGGGTAGATTCCTAGGACTGAAGTTACCAGGTTGTGTGGTAAGATGTGGCTGTATTTTACATTTCCATCAGCAATGTATAAGGGCACCACTTTCTCCACAATTCTCTAACACTTGGTATTGTCAGTTTTTGTGATTATAGTAATTCTCTAAGTGTGTAGTGGTATCTTATTGTGGTTTTAATTTGCATTTCCTTAGTGACTAATGATTTGAGCACTTTTTTATGTGTATATTGGCCGTTTGTAAATTTTCTTTGGTGAAGTGTCCAAATCTTTTGCCGATGTTATCATTGGATTGTTTTTCCTCTTATTATTTGAGTTTTAAAATATATTTTATATGCAAGTATATTATCAGATGTATTGTTTGCCGGTATTTTCTTCCAGTCTGTAGCTTGTCTTTTCGTTTTCTGATTGTTTCTTTTGAAGAAAAAGATTTTTAAATTTTGATGAAGTCAAAATCTTTTCTTTCGTGGATCTTGCTTTTTATAAAATCTTCATCTAACCCAAGGTTGCAACAATGTCCTCCTGTTTTCTTCTACACATTTTATAATTTCAGTTCTTACATTTAGGGATGTGATACATTTTGAGTTAAGTTTTGTGTATGGTGTAAGGTAAGAGTCTAAGTTCTTTTTTTGCATGTAGGCATATAGTTCTAGCATCACTGTCAAATAGTCTGTCCTTTCCCCCATTAAATTGTATTGGCACACTGACCAAAGCCAATTGCCATAAATGGGTTTACTTCTTACATGTCTGTTCTACTGATTTATAAATTTATCCTTATACCAATACCACATTAACTTAGGAATGGTAGTTTTATAGTAAGTTTTGAAGTCAGGTAGCATATGTTTTCCAAGTTGTTTCTTTTCAAAAATGCATAGGTTTTTCTATGTCCTTTGCATTTCTATATGCATATTAGGAATAACTTGTCAGTTTCTACAAATAAGTAGATAAATAAGTAAATAAAACCTGCTAGTTTTTTTTTTCGCTTTACGTTTTGGGATGCATGTGCAGAACGTGCAGGTTTGTTACATAGGTATACATGTGCCATGGTGGTTTGTTGCACCCATCAACTCAACATCTAGGTTTTAAGCCCCACGTGCATTAGGTATTTGTCCAGTGCTCTCCCTCCTCTTGCCCCGCACCCTTGATAGGCCCCAGTGTGTGATGTTCCCCTCCCTGTGTCCATGTATTTTCATTGTTCATCTCCCACTTATGAGTGAGAACATGCAGTGTTTGAAAACCTGCTAGGATTTTAATAGGAGTTGTGTAGAATTTGTAGGCTAATTTGAAGAGATTACCATTTTAACAGTGTTGAATTTTCCATTATATGAGTGTGACGTATTTCTCCAATTTTTAGCTTTGTATAGCAATGTTTGGTAGTTGTCAGAGTATAGGTCTTGAACTTCTTTTGATATGTTAATTCCTGAATGTATTTGTCAAGTTTCTGCAGAGGGACAAGGCCAGTAGGAAATATATATGTATATGTACATATATGTATATATTCATATATATATGAAACAAAGTTTATTAGGGGGAATTGGCTCGCATGATTAAAAATATGAAGTTCCACAGTAGGTTATCTGTAAGCTAGGGAATGCCAGTAGTGTGATTCAGTTCAAGTCCAAAACCCTTGAAACCAGGGAAGCCAACAGTCCAGTCCTGAGTGAGTCTGAGGGTGAAGGCCTGAGAGCCCCAGGCAGGCTGCTAGTGCAAGACCTGGAGTTCAAAGAAAGATGAACCTGGAGTCTGATGTCTAAGGGCAGGAGGAGAAAAGGTGCCTCACTGCAAAAGGGAGAGAGGGAGGAAGTTAAGCAATCTGAGTATCCCCCTTGTTCCACCTGCTTTGTTCTAATCACACCTATTACTGATTAGATGGTGGCCACTCACATTAAGGGTGGCTCTTCCTCTCCTGGTCCACTGACTCCACATGTCAATCTCCTCTGGAAACACCCTGACACACCCAGAAACAGTGCTTCACTAGCCAGCTAGGCATCCCTCAATCCAGTCCAGTTGATATCTCATATTTAGCATCACACTGAGTATTTCACTTTTTGATGCTATTGTGAATGGGATTATTTTCTCAATTTTATTTTTGATCTCTTAGTTGCTATTAAGTAGAAATCCAGTTGATATTTATATGTTAGTCTTGCATGCTGTTCTCTTACTACAATTGCTTATTAGTTCTAGTAATTTTTTTAGTTTGTAGATTCTTTAGGATTTTCTGCATATGAGATCACGTCATCTGCAAAGAAAGACACTTTAACTTCTTTTCTAATCTGTATGCTTTTAATTTACTTTTCTCGCTTTATTGCAATGGCTAGAAGCTCAAATATAAGGTTGAATAGAAGTAGTGAAAGTGAATATCCTTGCTTCATTTCCAATGGGGAAAAGCATTCATGTTACCATTAAGTACGATGTTAACTGTGGGTTTTGTAGATGCTCCTTATCAGGTTGTGTAAGTTCTCTTCTATGTCTGGTTTATGGAGTGTTATGTTTGGAGAATGGGGGTTCTTTTTTCTACATCTGTTGAGATGATCATTTGGTGTTTGTAGTTTGTTCTGTTAATGTGCATATTCCATTAATTCATTAATTGATATTAAACCACTCTTGCATTCCTGGGATGACTCCACATAGTTCATGGTATATAAAGGCAAGTTTTACATGCTGCAAGATTTGGTTTGTTAATATTTTGTTAAGGATTTTTACTATGTTCATGATAAATATTAGTCTGTAGTGTCCTTTTCTTATATATTTGCTTGACTTTGGTATCAGGGTAATACTGGCTATGTAATACTTGTTGGAAAGTTTTCCCTTCTTCACTGTATTTTAGACAAGTTTGTGTAGGATTGGTACCATCTCTTCCTTAAATGTTTGATAGAATTCTCCAGTGAAGCATTTGGACCTGTAGTAGTTTGATTTTTTGTAGGAATGTTTTAAGCACAAATTTGATTTTTTTTTTTTTAAAAAAAAGCTTCTCAATTTTTCACATGGCTTTGGCCAGTTTCCATAACCCCAAAATGGTGGTTTTTGATGATTTTGTCTAGTTTATTAGTTTTAGCTTGCTAAGAGGATTTTTTGACTTCTTCACACCACCACACCCAGAAGTTGCCTCTCTACCTCTTTTAAAAAAAAATCTGTATAGTATTTCATTTTACAAACATGCCATAATTTATTTAATAAAAAATAGTTTTTTCACTTTTTAAATATAGTCTGAGCAGTGCTGAAGCTAGCCTTCTATATATAACTTTACTTACTTTTGCTAATAAGATACGTGCATTTTTAATTTTAATAAATGTCAAATTATTCTCCAAACTTTGTTCTCAATAATTACATTGTTAGAATAATTTCCAAGGAGGTCCACTTCTGCATATATTGCTACTACCATATATAGGTTAAGCAACCCTACTGTGAAACTAAAATGCACCATAATTCAAAACTTTTTGAGTGGCATTTTGACGCCACACATGGATGTCTAAGATAGTAACGTATTTGTTTTCTGATGATTCAGTGTACATAAACTTTGTTTCATGTACAAAATTATTAAACATATTGTATAAAATTACCTTCAGGCTATGTGTGTAAGGTATATATGAAACATAAATGAATTTTGTGTTTAGACTTGGATTTCATCCTCAAGATATCTCATTATGTTATGTATAAATATTCCAAAATCTGAAAAATTCTGAAATCTGAAATGCTTTTAATCACAAGCATTTCAGATAAGTAATAACAGCCTGTACTATTAATCTTTCATATTTTTGCCAATATGAAAAGCGAACAGTTTGGTATCTTTTTGTTTGTACTTATCTAATTGGAGTTGGGAATCTTCTCATATGCTCTTTGACCATTTCTTTTTATTTTATGAAGTGACTTTTTATTCCTTTGCTTAATTTCCAATTATTTTTATTTTTATTTTATTTTATTTTTTTTTGAGATGGAGTTTTGCTCTTGTTGCCCAGGCTGGAGTACAATGGCGTGATCTTGGCTCACTGCAACCTCTGTCTCTCCCAGGTTCGAGCAATTCTGCCTCAGCTTCCCAAGTAGCTGGGATTACAGGCACACACCACCATGCCTGGCTAATTTTTGTATTTTTAGTAGAGACAGGTTTTCACCATGTTGGCCAGGCTGGTCTTGAACTCTGACTTTGTGATCTGCTCACTTTGGCCTCCCGAAGTGCTGGGATTACAGGTGTGAGCCGCCATGCCTGGCCTTAATTTCCAATTAGTTTGGTTCTTTTTTTCTTATTTATAGGATCTTTTGGTATTATAGTGATACTGTTATCTGTTTTATGTTGTAAAGATTTTTTTTCTATTCTGTCCTTCCTTCTAGTTGTAACTGTTTTCAATCTTTTGAGACCCTGGTATTGTAATTTATGTTTCTGTTTGTTTTTAAAACAGAAAGTTGTACAAGGGATTGATTTAAACCAAATTCGAGGACTTGGGTTTGATGCCACGTGTTCTCTGGTTGTTTTGGATAAGCAGTTTCGCCCATTACCGGTCAATCATGAAGGTAAGACCACGTCTCTTCCTTTTCCCAGTGGTGGAGACTTGCCTGATTAATCCAATGGGCCCAGGTGGAACAGGAGGGCAGGCGTCTCTTGCTGTTGATAGTGAAATTTAGAGGTAGAGTGAAGTGACACAGATCATGTCGCAGAAGTCAAGAGCTTGGAGAGCAGTTGGTATGAGTGGGTTGGTGTTGAGGCTGGATTAGGGGGACTTGGCTTGATAAAACTCAAGAGCCACAGTGCAGAACATGGTAAAGGAAGGACATGAGATTGTTAGCTAGGAGTAAGTAACTTTGAAACACACAGGTGGTTTTGATGTTTTCTGGGAAGAGAGTGTCAGTGCTTGCAGTTTCTTTGTATACGACATTCCTATTCCATGCTTATCTGAGTGGATGAGCCAAGTCCTTTGAAAGGAAATGGAACATGGTAGACAGGACCATGTGACAAACAGAAGCTAGAAGCAGATGGCCTCTCTATTTTCAATAGCCAGACCAAAAGACATTCACATTAAATGATGTCCTAACAGACACTTGTGAGTCCAGAAATGAGCTGTTTCAAACGTAAAATGCCACTTGGGTCCACCATCAGAGATTTTTCACAGCAGATAAGGTTGTCCCTTTTGGGGAAGTTTAGCCAATAATGCTAGTGCTGGGGTTACAAACCCAAAAGTCTACTAATACATTAATGCAATAATTAATACATTAGTCAGATGGGTAATGTAAAATGAGTAATAGGCCACGCTTGAGAAAAACCACTGCACATGTGTGAAGATAAATTTCAACTGATATTTAACCTTGTAATGAGCAGAAGACATTAGGGAGCAGTGGAGGCTGCCTTGCACTGGAAATTGCATGCTCCATCTGAAGGGAGGGGCCAGCGCTAGGCATTGTCAGTCGGCTGTTGCCAAGATAGCCATTGCAAACATATTTGGGGCTAGATTCTGTTTGAGAACGCTTGGTTCTGGACACTGTTGCAGCAGCATCTTTCTTAACTGTTGGCTATGAGGTAGTAGGGTACATTGGTACACAGTGGAATTAGCGTTAGGCAGGGACTCTGATTGTAGCTCTGCCATTGCTGAGCTGTGACACCTTGGGCAAGCCACTTAACTGTGTTTCTTAGTTTTCTTCTCTGAAAGAATTTGAATAATGAATCAGTAGCTTTGCTGTGAGAATTTAGTGAGAGACTGATACTTAAAATGCTCAGAAAAGTTTCTTCCATCAGATGATGAATTTTTTAAGAGAATATTCTGGTCACTACTATGGACCTAATGTATGAAATAGTGATTATTATAATTATAAGGACTATAAATGATCATCTATTTGCATCACTTTTCACTATAAGTGATCACTATAAATAATCATAATCACTATGTGCTGAAAATGGATGCAAATAGATGAATGATTAGAGCACAGTGGTAATGATGACCATTTTCTGCACACACGCACACACACACACACACACACACACACACACATTTTTCCCTCTTCTTGTGACATTTATTAACACCTCCTGTGTGCCAAGCCCTGTCTTAGCAATGCTGGGGCTTCAAAGATGAATCAGGATGGTTCTTGTTCTTGGTGGCTATTCATTGGCCCAGTTGGCACTGTTCTGGCCCAGGACAGGGCAGCCTCATTCTGAGCCATTTCAGAAAGCAGAGACCAAAAATGGGTAGAGCAAACCTCAGCTCTGCAGCAGCAAGCATTCACTAATTACAAGATGTGGCCAGCCACAGACCTGGCCGTTTTGGGAGGCTGTCAGTGTGTCTTTTATGGGCTTTATTTAAGTAAAGGTCGGGTGATTGTTAGGGATGCCATAGATCAGATGTCTCTTACTGCTGATAGTGAGATTCAGAGGCAGAGTGTGGAGGCCAGAAGTTGTGTCCCAGAAGTTAAAAGCTTGGAGAGCAATTGGCACGAGTCGGGTGGCGTTGGGGGCAGAGTTAGAGGGAACTTGGTTCCATAAAGCACAAGAGGTATGTTAGAGAGCCTGATCTTGGGTGGGACTTTAGATACTAAGAGTCCTGCTTCAAGGATTTTGTATCATCTGATCTAAAATACATGTTTCTTTATTTATTTTTACTCTGGCTGTGCATTAATATCAACTGGAGATCTTTTTAAAAATGGACAATTCCTGAGCCCTACCCTCAAGATTTGTGTTCACTTGACTTGAGGTGGAGCTAGGGCGTTGACTTTTAAAAATGTTCTCTCAGGAAGTCTAGTATGTAGAGAATCACTGGGCACAGATTAACAGAGAATTAAAATATTAGGAACATAACACTTGAAGTGGAAGAAGATAGTTCCTTGTTAAATTTGCTTAAATATGTACCCTCTTTAGATGCTATATATTTTTTTCATTGTAGGTAGAATGGCCTCCCGTTAACAAATCCTCTATTAAAAAGGTAACTAGGTTCCCACTCTAATTATAAGTGTTGAAATAACTTTATTCCACCTAAAAGGTTAAAGTGTACCCATTCATCAAATGCATCCAGCTGCAGGTGCCATCAGTTTCTTGCCTTTCAACAGATTGTATTAAGGTTAGATCTTTTATCCGAAATGGATTATCCTGTGCAAGAAAATGAAATTAGAATTTTAAAGGTGGTTTGAAGGTTCTTTAGAGACTGCTACCTGCAAGGCAGCCACCAACTCTTGATTGGCTAATGGGAGTAATTGTGAGGAGCAGAGAGTGGGGTCAGGAAGATTCCAGATAACCCTAATCATGCAGATAACCTAAAACCAAACCCATAAGACCAGCAAAATATTGCCATCTTTAGATGTTAACCAAAAAATTACAAACAAATTAAGTACAATCGTTTAAGAAAATACAGCATTACTGTATGATAAAAGAGTCTCATTGTTTGCCTTTCCTTGTTTGACTCTTCTTCCTTAAAAGATCTGAACAGCCCCTGCGCTGGACAGCAGCACAGTTGCTGAATGCTTCCTACCCCACCACTGACCGAATGCAGAGCCTCACCCTGATTGTGTCATCTCAGCCATAGGAGCTCTTGGGAGGGAGAGGAACAAAGGGTGATAATTGGGGCTGGGAGAGGGAGTTATGACCTCGTCTCCTCTGTGCAACAGATACCTAATGTGTAGATTTTCTTTGCTGATTCATAATAATTTTTCCCCTCAGGTATGCCTGCAACACATTCTGTGAACATAAACATGTATTTTAGCAAGGTATTAATTAAGTGAATATATGGATGAATAATAATCTGCCCTTAGGTAAAGTGAGGTAGCTCAAATTTTGCTTTACCTCCAATTCTCTTAAACGACGACATTTTTGTGGGTCTGTGTTCTGTTTCCCATGCGGCCTTATTGTGTAGAACCTCTTTCTCACTCTTTCTTCACCTGCGTAGCCAGTGGCTAGTCATTTGCAGAATTAAATAAACACTTTCCTGCCTTTTGGAAGCTTTCTGTGCAGCTCCAGGCTCAGCTAACTAGAGCCTACTCTTTGCTCCTCCTCCACATTCCCATGTCTGGTACTCTTGTTCTGGCAGTCAACACACAATGTAGACTTTCTCTCCATGCAAACATATGCTGCTTAAGGGCAGAACTGTGGCACATTCTTCTTGATATCCTAGCATCCAACACTGTGCTTGGCATGTAGTAGATGCTCAATAAAAGATTAAATTAACTTTCAGTTGATTTACTTGTGGTTTTCCATGAGAGCTGAAAAAAAAAAATGAACTTCTCAGTTTTTATCTAAACGAATATGTGCATTATCTTTTGTTTAATAACTTTCTGAATTATATATCTTCGTCTGTAACTGTGTCTTCATCTGTAACTAGCATTCCCCATTAGATCTGCCTAGTTCCAAAACCGATGAGCTTCCCATGCCAACAAACCAACCAATCAAATGAGGGAAAAAAACACCTAAATGAACTAATTTTAATTAAACTGACCAGAAAAAGTGGGAATATAAGCAGTTAAATGCCATTGTGTAGCTATTAGATGTATTATACCATCAAAGTATTTATCCATATTTAAAGGAGACAGATCTTAAAAAGGGAAAATATTGCCGTAGTCTTATTTCATAGATGCCTCTCCTGAATGTATGCCCAGAAAAGTTTTTCTAGAACAGAAGGGATAAGAAAGGAAGAGAAGAAGTTGCGAGAGAATACTGGATAATATAATTAATTGGTAGATTTTTTTTCTGCTTTTAATGTAGATATTTATTCTAAGGTTATGGTCAGAGAACACATGACTGGACAGGAAATTCGAGGCCTGGGGACAGTGCATTCATCAGCCTAGCTGGTGTCCTTTCATTTGGCTCATTCTTGATACATAAAATTATAGAAAGTACATAGCATTTTGGTCTTGGGAATCCATAATTGTTCCCTTGAAGTAGAAGGAAGAGAATGTGTGTCTGTCTGCATCTCCCTCTCGTTTCTGTTAGAGGATTCCCATCGAAATGTCATCATGTGGCTGGACCATCGAGCAGTCAGTCAGGTCAATAGGATCAACGAGACCAAGCACGGCGTCCTCCAGTATGTCGGCGGGGTGATGTCTGTGGAAATGCAGGCTCCGAAGCTTCTGTGGCTGAAAGAGGTGAGTGCATAGAGTCTAAGAGAAGATACCAACAATAGTAGAGGATCCCTTTTATTGTGGATCTGTATGTACCAGGCACCCTGCTAAAATCAGTTCTGTTTGATTTTTTCCCAGCAACTAGGAGAAACATTGATCCCATTTTATTGATTACAGTGCAGTTAAATCACACCTGTTTTTATGTGCCTAACTCATACCAGGCACTGTGACAAGTATTGTACACGTTATCTCTTTGAAGGCCAACAGCCCTATGAAGTGTTTTTATGTGTGGTGTTTACTTTAGGGTGTCTGTTTTGTAGACAAGAAAACAAATGTTCATAGAGCTAAAACAACTCACTCAAAGTGAAAAATATGTGACAGAACCAGAATTTGAACCTAAGACTGGCTGACTCCAAAATGGTTTTTTCAAATTTTAAAATGTTTCTTTTGTGGAGACTTGGTCTCACTGTGCTGGCCAGGCTGATTTCAAACTCCTGGCCTTATGTGATCCTGCAAAAGTGATGTGTTTATAGGTGTGAGGCACTGTGCCCAGCCATCCAAAATCAATTCTTTTAATACCCGGTATTCTACTGGAGTTCAGAGAGATTAATTACCATTCCAGTGAGAAAGCAGCAGAGGTGGGATTTAAGTCCATATCTTCTGATCAGGGCCTTCCTAGTCTGTACACTTTTAGCCCCAACTTATTAATATTTGGCCTTGTTGACATCTTAGGCTTCCCCTTTCTCATCCCACCTGCACTCGAGTTTCTCATCCTTAAATGATATGGCAATCTCTGGTCAAAGCACTTGCAGGTGGTTTCCATTTCCAGATGTGAGGACTCCTTTATGAAGTGTGGAGAATGGTGATGTCAGCTTAATGGTTCCCATTAGAGATGGATGTGTGAGAAAGTTCAAGTCCTTCGGGAACCTCAAGGACTTGAAAACCTCTAGGTGGTCTGGAGAAACAGAGAATCCATCTAATGGGCATGACCTGTGATTCATTTACTGGCTCTGAGATTTCAGGTGGGCTGAGTCTTCTATTACTCAGTTTGTGAATGGAGATGGGGAGAGCTTAGGGTGCTGAGAAGGTGCCTAAGGATTGCCATCATGGGACAGGAGAGTGGTAGGAAAGAAGGGCTTCAGCAATCAAAGCAGGCTTTACTTGTTAGCTGTTTTAGATATTGAGCTGTTTTGTAAGTTTTAATCTGCATAAAGGCTTCTGTGGTTGCTAAGAGTTTGACAGAGTTTCTTGGGAGTCAGGAGTTTTCAAGAATCTAATTCTGACTCTACTGTCAACAATTACATGCTTTGGTCAAAGCACTTCTTATCTCAGACCTCACTTTTTTTCATCTGTAAAGTGGGAGAGTTGTATTAACCAGTTTGAAAACCTGACTTGGATATATGCTGAAACACAAAATTGGAATACAGAACTATTCTGTACTGCCCCATACCCTGCTTTGAGTTGTGTAAGCATTAGTTGATTTTAATCCTAACAATCTCTGCCTGGTAGATAGCATGGGAAACTGATCCTAAGGAGGCTTTCCCAAACAGGTGATCGAGCCAGAATTTAAATCCATGTCTGCTGGGCCCCAAATCTCAGCTTGTTCCATCATGTCATGCAGTAGTAAAATCCTTCCATGAAGCATGGCTCTTGGCGTAGGACCAGGAATGATGGCAGTGGTCTTCTTCAACTTGGCCTAAACTTGTTGCTATATCAACAGGTTTGGATTGGATATATCACCTTTTTTGGCAACACAGAAAGAAGAGTTATACTGAGTTAAGCGAAGAGGATTGGGTGGAGGGTCGTTGGTTCCGTGTCAGGGCCTTCTAGAGCATGTGCCACATGGCCAGGTCCAGCCTCTGTCCCAGGAGATCTAAATGCATATCTGGCACGAACCTCTCAGGACTCTTACCATCTCGCACTTGATATAAAACTGCACTAAGTAAATCCCATAGGAAATAGTTAATATCTAGATTACATGGCAATGTTTGTGACCCTCTGAGAGCATCTTCTATTAATTTATTTTAAAAATTCAATTTTCTTTGAGAATTTTCTGAGTAAGCCTCTAGTGTGGGTGTGTTTTGGTAAGCATGTACGGGAATTCTTGCTGAGAATTCGTTTGGCTTTAATGTGATTGCAAAATCAAAATTAAAGGGATTTCTAAGTCAGTTTTAGCATTTTCTTAAAGCCTGACCAGGAGGGCTGTAGTGCTTCTCAGACTTTAATGTGTAAATGAATCACCTGGAGATCTTGCTGAACTGTAGTTTCTGATTCAGTAGCCCTGTGATAGGGACTGAAAATTGGAGAATTTGTAGTGCTAGCACAAGTTCACAGGTGATGCTAATGTTACTGGGCTGGGAACTTGTGAAACCACTTTTAATTCCAAAAGCTCTGTTCCCCTACGCTGAAAAGCATCCACTTGTGGGGAATCAGGGAATGGTACCTTTGTTTTTAATGCTATGATGGGAGACACAGGGAAGTTTGATAGCTTCAGTAGAGCTGCTTGAGTGCACGTTCAGAATAAAAACATGAGATTCTGTGTTCTAAGTTTATCAAGCTGTCTTGTTTTTACTCTTTCTTTATTCTTTAATTCTTGAAGTCTGTACTGAGCTCAACTACGAACCAGCAAGTGCGATAGGCACCGGGGACATGGGGACAATAAGGACTCAATCTTACCATTAAGCAGCACAGAGTCCACAAGGGATAGTGGTGGGGGAGCATAAGGAATGGGGTGGATGCAAGAGTGACATGAAAACAGAGCCATCAAATATACTATGCACTGTGATATGGCAATATACAAAGTGCTTTGGGAAAAAGGATTTGCTTCCTAGAGGCAATAGTTTGACAGGAACCTCAAGATATGAGTGGAGGTTTTGCCTAGCAGAGAAGATAGGAAAGAGATTCTGAAGAGAGACTGTGGTTCATCTGTGATATGGTAGGTGAGTCCCAGGGCATGAGCTGGGGTGCTTCAGCAAGCATAGCAGGAGATGAGGCCAGGTAAATAGTCTGAGTTCGGCTTTTTAAGGGCCTAATTGGTGATAGGGATTGGTTGATGGTTGTTAAGCAAGGGAGGGGCGGGCTTAGGTCACTGGCAGACATGTGGAGATTGGATTAGGGGTGAGAAAATGTGTGTGGGGAGGTAAGAACTAGAGTTTTCTCATTCCTCTAATGATAGCACTCTGATGGCTTTGCATTGCTTTATTAGATAAATTCCAGAAACTGAAACATGGACTACAAAATGGTGCATGATGTCATTTTTACCTCCTCCTCTCTCCTCACTCTTTGTCTTTTACCTCCTAGCTCACTATATCCCATCCACAGGGATCCACTTAGAGTTCTTTGCTACATGAGTCTTGGCTAGAGGTTGGCAGACTATGGCACCCAGGCCAAATCTGGCCTACTGCCTATTATTGGAGGGCTTGAGAAAATGTAAATGGTTTTACATTTTCAAGTGGTTAAGAAAGAATCAAAAGAATGATATTTTGTGACTTATGAAAATAATAGGAAATTAAAATTTTAATGGCCATAAGTAAAGTTTGATTGGAACACAGCCACACTCATCCATTTATGTGTTGTTTATGTCTGTTTTCACATTACAGTGACAGTTGAGTGGTTGAGACAGAGACTATATGGCCTACAGGGCAGAATATATATGTACTATCTCGACCAACAGATGAAAAGTTTGCTGACCCCTGTCTTGACAATGCTGAGTCTTTCACCCACAGTGTTCTTCCCTCTGCTCACCACTGATTCTTCCTCATCATTTAAGTTTCAGTTTTATTTTTGCTCTCTTAAAAAGCCTTTCCTGACCATCAGATACATCAGAGTCTCTTGTTACTACACTCTTAATTTTACTTCATTATATCTTTCATAAATTGTAGTGCTACGTCAATTTTTGTGGTGATTTATATAATGCTTGCTCCAACCATTGTAAGCTGCAGGAGGATAGAGATCATATCCACCTTGTTCTTTGCTATGTCTCGGTCCCTAACCAAATGGCTGGTGCATAGTAGGTACTCAGTACATATTTTCTGAATAATTTGAATGATTCTGTAACTCAATAAGGGGCTGTTGCAGTACTCCATGGGAGAACTAATGAGACCTGAATTAGGCACTGTGAGTTGGAAGGAGATGAGTCCTAGAAATTTTTAGAGGATAATATCAATAGGACATTGAGACTGATTGGCTGTGAGGAGTGAGTCAGATGGAGGAGTCAGAGCTGACCACTCACTTTGTTGTTGCTGTCATTTATCTTCTCCTTGTCCTTCACCTACAGTCAGATGTCAGAGGGAGTTGGGTAGAATTTGAGGTTTTATCTGTCTTGAGATGTACTAGGACCACCATAGCTCTTGGGCAAAGTCACTTGGGTCCTAGTCCTGCAAATATGGAATTTAATCATGTCCTTTTCATTTAAAGTTTATGTGTTTCAGGTTGACATTTGTCTCCTTAATAAGAATTGTCAGATAAAAGGAAAAATGCCATTTGAATTTTTCATAACCCCCAGCAGTCTGGCTTTTCCATTTGGTCTCAATGATTCTGACTCTCATCTTAATGAAGGCCAAATGTAAATTAAGTTCTGTCAGGCTTGAGCTGCTGGAGTCTCCTATCTTTATAAACATGAAACATTGTAGGGTAACAAGGTGCAGACTGAGGAAGGTCAAGAGAATTGGTGAGCTGATGTGGATCCTGACAGCTCAATGTTAATGGGAGAGAATTAACGTGACTTGTAGGAGCTACATGGAGATCTTCCAAGCTGTCTTTTAACTCATTTCCTCTTTTGCCATTGTCAGCAGAGCAGAAAGCTAATGATTTTATAGTTTGAGATTTTCCTTGCTTATTCCAAAGTTCGGAACCAACTGTCTGTAATGTCACAGGATTTTGTTGATGGGTTCAGGAAATATACCTGCTGCTTCTCTCTCCCCTGTCCGTGCCCCTGTGCTTCTGTCTTCCTGATAACATCCTGGGAAAATGAGGAAATGATTCTCTAATTGGTAGATTCTTTGGGGGAAACTGGGAGTTTGGAT